TCTGTTGTTGTATCAGTACCAGGCTGTTTTGACTATCATAGCTGTATTGTAGGTTCTGAGTTTGGGAAGTGTGAGTCCTCTTACTTTGTTTTTCTTCCTCATTAATGCTGTATTTATCTGGGGCCTCTTTCCTTTCCATATAAAGTTGGAAATAATTTTTCCATTTCCTTAAAGAATGTTGTTGGAATTTGGATCTGGATTACATTATATCTATAGATCACTTTTGGTAGTATTGACATTTTCATGTTGCTAAGTCTTCCTGTCCATGAGCATGGTATGTTTTTCCATTTATGTAGGTCTCTTCTGGTTTCTTGCAGTAGTGTTTTGTAGTTTTCTTTGTGTAAGTCTTTTACGTCCCTGGTTAGATTTATTCTTAAGTATTTTGTCTTTTGTGGAGGGCGATTGTAAATGGTATTGTTTTCCCGATTTCCTTTTTGGAGTTCTCTTTGTTAGTGTAGAGGAATCCAACTGATTTTTGTATGTTGTTTCTTTCTTTCTTTATTGAAGTATAATTTACATAAAATAAAATGCACACATCTCAAGTGTTGAGTTAGATAAGTTTTGACAATTGCGTAACTACCACCCAAAACAGGATATAAAATACTTCCATCACCCCAGAAAGTTCTCATGGCACCCTTTTCCAGCCAATCCTACAATCCAGTAAATACCCCATAGCTACCAATTTGTAGCTTCTGTCTCCATTGATTAGTTTTGCCTGTTCTTGTAAGGAGCCCTGGTGGCAAAGTGATTAAGAGCTGGCCTGCTAACCAAAAGGTTGGCAGTTTGAATCCACCAGCTGCTCCTTGGAAACCCTATCGGGCAGTTCTTCTCTGTCTGATAGGATCGCTATGAGTCGAAATCGACTCAACAGCAACAGGTTTGGTTTGGTACTTAGTGTAAATGGAATTATATAGTATAAATTCTTTTGTGTCTGGCTTCTTTCACTTAGCATAACATTACTGAATTTCATACTTATTGTATGTATCTGTAGTTCATCCCTTTTTATTGCTGAGTAGTACTCCATTGGATGGTTGTACTATAGTTTGTTTATCCATTCTCCTGCTGATGACTATTTAGGTTATTTCCAGTTTTGGACTTTTAGAAATAAAGCAGCTATGAATATTCTTATATGGACAGATGCTTTCATTTCTCTTGAGTAAATACGTAGGAATGAAATTGCTGAGTCGTAGGGTAGATATAAACTTTTGTCAGAAACTGCCAAACTGTTCTCTAAGGTAATTGTAGTGGTGAGATCTCTTTTTAATGCAGGTGGGAGCAAGGGTGGCATGTGAAGTAGTCTAGCACAGCCAAAGAAGTATTTTGGAGTCATATTGACCTGGCTTCTCATCTGGGCTCTGGTGTTTACAATTTGTGTGATCTTAGACAAGTTATTTAATATCTCTGAGCTTTCATCTTATCTGTAAAAGGGAGTGATAATGAGATCATGTATATAAATATCTAGCATTCTACCTAGCAGTGGCATACCAAGGTGAGGCCGCTGTTGCAGTTTTAAAGAATTGAAAAGCAATAATAAAACCAACTGAAAATCGCTTTGCTTCTTCTCATCATCCTGTGCATACAATTCTAAGCAATATCAGTGATAAAATACTTCTCCCTGCTGTCTCCTCCTCCCATACACCATGCTATCTAGCAAATTATAGGGACTTATAATAAATAGTAATTATAATCAATATTTAATAAAATTAAGTAGGAACCAAGGGCTAGGTTGTAATTTGGAACTTAAGAGAGATTTGGACCTTTTGTTGCAGGTTCTTTACCTGTGCACTTCCTGTTTCCTCCAGTTCCCTGGTTTACAAGGCTCACCCTAAGTGGAAACATTTCCAAGACTTCAGGGAGACACACAAGAGGTGTATTGTTCTCTAGGAGCCACCTCTAAACAGTCCCTCCTCTCAATTCCATAAAAGTTTGAGCTTTCCTCCCCTTCCTTTTTACCCACCTTTTAATTCAGATATGTCATAAGCACATTTTCTGCCATTGTATTCTTCAGTATCATTATAGATCGTGTATCTACCTCTGCTGCACCCAAGTCAGCCTTATTTATCAAAGACAAAAAAATTCCTCTTAAACACTCTGTGCCTAGTAACGTAGGTTCCCAAACACATGTTCTAACTTGCAGATCCATTTATTATCTTTTCTGTCAATTGTTACTTTGTGGGCAGTTTTGTAGACCCTAGTCTAACCTTTCTTTCTATACTTTCTCCAACTCACCTGCCTGTTAGCTATATCTTAACATGTAAAAATGAATCACAAGTATCGTATTTGTTCACCGTGGCCCCTGACTTCTGTATTTTGGATGAGTTATTGATTTGAGGGCAAATACCGTAGACAAATACAGTCATTCAAGAAGCATTGATGCAGTTCTCAGGTAGTACTTAAGAGCCTAAGTTTTTGAGTTAAAATCCTGCTTCCTCTCCATGTTAGCTATGCTACCTTAGGCAGGTTGCCAAACCTCTCTGAACATTGTTTTTTTAATCTGTGAAATGAGTAATGATACCTATCTCTTAAATGAGATAATGGATGTGGAGTACTGTATTAGTTTCCTATTGCTGTCATAACACATTAGCACAAATTTAGTGGCTTAAAACAACACAAATTAGTTATCTTAGAATTCTGTAGATCAGAAGTCTGACAAGGGGTTTCACCAGGCTAAAGTCAAGGTATTGTCAGGGCTGTGTTTCTTCTGGAGGCCTAGTGAGAATCTATTTCCTTGCCATTCTCAGCTTCTGGAGGCTTCCCATATTCCTTAGCTCCCCTTCCCCCATCATCAGAGCCAGCAATAATGGTCGAGTCTTTTTCTGCCTTCACTCTCTGGTTCTCTGCAACTGAGAAAGGCTCTGCAATTTTAAATATACATGTGATTAGATTGGGCCCACATGGATAACCAGGATAATCTCCCTATCTCAAAGTCCTTAACTTTAATCACATCTGCAAAGTCCCTTTTGCCACCTAAGGTAACATATTCACAGGTTCTGAGGATTAGGGCATGAACATCTTTGGGGGGCCGTTATTCTGCCCACCACAAGTGCTTATCCCTGTGTGTACCTCTTGGTAAGCTCTCTGTAAGTGACAGTAATTCAAGGCCCTCAGTGTTCTGGGAGATTCCGAGATGAAAATATGACCCTTAGGCACAAGTAGGAAAATGAGAGCGCTGAGGACAGAAGAGATTCTGACCCAGAGCCATCTGTGGGGTTTTAACCTAGTGCCGCAGAAAAGTGAGAGGCCTCAGGTTAGCAAGTGATCTGGCAAGTTTGAACAGAGTGAATGTGTCAGTAATGTATGGAAGTAGAGAACCTGAAAATAAATTAGTTTTAATCCAGATGAGAATCTTTACAGGACAAAGGGTAAATAAGAGAGAAGGAGAAGCCAGAGGGAACACCTTTTCTGACGAGACAGTCGGGGGATTAGATTTGTTCACATCTCAATTCTTCCCGCTAGTCCCACTAGATTCGTTTGTTCATTCAGGCAACAGATCCATACCAGGCACTGTACCTGACCTTGGGGATGCCATAAACACGATACATAAGCCTGCTTTCTCAGGGCTCATTGTTATGGAAGAAAACAACCATGGCAATACAGCCATAATACAGTGTGACAGTGGGAGCCCATAGGAAGGGTGCACCTCCCTCCCAAACATGCAGGACATAGAGGAAGTTGCCTATAAGCTGAGACCTGAAGAATGAGTTTGAGTTTATCACTTAGGATGCTTTGAGCTGCAAGTAACAGCCCAACTCAAATTTCTTAAGCAGTAATGAGCTGGGTAGCTCACTTAACTGGACAGGCGTCGAGGCGGGTTACTCTGTGGTCACTCTGTCTCCATTTCTCTGTGATTCCCTCAGCTGGGCTGGCCTCTGTATATTGGTTTCACCCTCAGGCTGGCTTCCCTCATGGTGGCAGAATGTGTGTAGCAATTGCAGGTGTCACATCAGTACACCCAGCATCCAGAGGAAGAAAAACATCTCTTCCATAAATTCTCTCCTAAGAATAAGAAAACTCCTTTTCTGGAAGCTGTCAGAAACCATTCCCCTTGCATCTGTTCCGGGTCACAGTCTCATTTCTGAACCAATCCCTGTGACCATAGGGATGCCACATTCTATTTGGCCTAGGCCTGAACCTGTCACTGTGGCAGGGACATTAGGTTCACCCTTCTGGTCTGCTTTGGGGCAGGGAAATAATTAAATGAAAACCAAAATGTTGTTAGGAATGAGGGAGGATAAGGAGTCAGAAAGAACAGTATGTAGGAATGCCTAGTGACTTATTCTCTCCTTCAACCAAGCAAAACTCCTTTCTGCCCCTTCATACCTTATGCTTATTCTGTTTCCTCATAACTCTAGCTTTGCCATGAGCCTTCAGGATTTCTCTCTGTGCATGTTTTTGACTTCAGCATCTGCTGCTAAGTTGTTCCTCAATTTAGATCCCCAAGATCAAGATTTAGGTCCAATTACATTACTGTACCAGGCTCCACCTACTTGAAGTAAGCTCCAGATGATCAGAGACTTGGTTTTGTGTACTACTGTACCCCCAGCATCTGAACAGTGCCTGGCGTGCAGTGGGTACTTATTAAATATATAAATAAATGTAAGATCAGCCTTCCAGTTAATTGGCTACCCTTGGTTCAGATGCTCCCCTGGGCAAATTATCTGTGGCTGAGGGGATGTCCCCTCTAGTGGTAGGAACAGAAGTTTATCTGGCTCTCACTTTCACTACTTGCTATTGTCTGAGCTTCAGTTTACTTTTCTTCAAAATGGAGTCAAAGAAACCTACACTTTATGGCTCAGAATCAAGTGAGATCATGAATATGAAAGTACTTTATATATTGTAAGATGCTAGGCAGTTTAATTCAACTCTGGTCACTCATATGCACCTGGGAGAGATTGAAATAGAAAGGCCGGTTTAGCTGTTCAGTCCTATTTCTCGATGTTGAGTTCCCCAGGAGAACCTTTAACCAACTCTTTTCTTGTTCCTTCCATTTGCTCCTCCAGGGCCACTCAGGATGTGTGAACTGTCTGGAATGGAATGAGAAAGGAGAGTAAGTATGAGCTAGAACACCTAGAGGGTTCTGGAGGAGGGAGTGAGAAGGCTAGGAAAAGAGAATTTTCATTCCTCTTAGTAGATTTAAGAAAAGAATGGACCCAAATGAAAAGAAACTCTGTTTTCCTATGTTCCTAAAATTAGTCCATAATTTCAACCCATAAACAATTAATCCCAGGTGGATGGAGGGTTGGATGACCATCCCTACCTTGCTTTTTTGACAAGCCATTGTGTTTAAGAAATATTGGGAAATTCCCAGAACAAAATAGAAGAGAATCAACTAATGTTTACAAGATAACCTTTAATTCTGTGACATCTGCCATCCTTTAAGGTCTTTGTGGCCTAACTCCTTATCAGTGTCAATGTGGGATGGGGGAAGGGGCCCGGGAACTTGATGAGAGATCAGAACTCCTCATCTGCTTGCAGCTTGTTGGCTTCTGGTTCCGATGACCAGCACACAATTGTGTGGGACCCGCTGCACCACAAGAAGCTGCTCTCCATGCACACAGGACACACTGCAAATATCTTCTCTGTCAAGGTGAGCAGGATAAGCCATAGAGCAAGTGAAAGGGTTAACTGTGTGGTGGGCATGGTCGTGTTTGTATATGTGTGTCCCATGTACCCCCTGGAGTCAGACACTCTTTGGATCTGAGCATTTGATGGTGACTCCTGAAACCCCATCTTTTTTCCATGCTCTGCTTCCTCCCTTAAAGCCAAGAAGCCAACTCTGAATGTATATTTGTGTGGGTGGTGGTGGTGGGGGTTATTATGGTTTTGCATGAATTTCGATAGCAGGCAGATCTGGATTTGACCTCTTATCTGCCTCTTGGAAGCTGTGTGAACTGGGCAAATCACCTACCTCTCTGAGCCTGTTTTCTCATCTGTAGAAAGGAAGTAGCAGTTCACAGGATTGATATTACAGTGCAGTGAGATAATTGATTAAAAAAGCACCTGGCACAGGTGCTTTTAACTGTTCTACCTTTCTGTAGGGAATGAGTCTGCTGGTTTGTTGGTGGAGGAGAGTTGAGCTGAGGAAAGGTGGGAAGGAGACTTGACAAATATCTTCAGACCTTTGAAGCCCTATTACATGGAAGTGATACAAGACTTGTCCATTATGGTCCCAGAGAACAGAACTAAGACTAGTAGCTCTAAGTCCACAGAAGCAAATGTAGGCCTGATGTAGGAAAGCACTGTCTAATGTTTAGAGCTATTTGAAGAAGATGGAGTGGGCCCTCTGGGTCCTAGCATTGAGGTGTTCCACTTACTGGGGAACTTCATCTACCAGGTGAAAGGTTGGAGGAAATGACCTTTAAGGACCTTCGAAGCTCTGAGATTTTGATAATGGATATATGTGTGAGAATGAGGCTGTCCTTTGGAAAACCTCATTAATCTAATAAATATTTTCCTAGTTATTATCAGGAGGAACTACAAGATACCTGAACAAGAGGGTAGATTAGAGAGCTCAAAACCTGCTCGTTTCCCTAAACCCTGCCTCTTTCCCAAGCTCAGATTCTCATCTCCTATTCCAGGGACCAATCCTAGATAAATTTCTGTGGTTGCTACTTGTCTTAAAACAAGTTATCCCCTTTTAGAAACAGAACAATGCTGATTGACCTCCTTCATGAGCAACAGAGATTTCTTTCTGCCCCTACAAGGTTTTAGGCCCAGTTTGAGTCTGTAGAGTCAGATCTGGGGAAGGGACCTAAGACATCAGTTTGGCATAACAGAGCACAAAACATTGAGTTCAGAGACCACTGTTTGATGATGGTCTTGATACTCCCTAACAGTAAGACCTTGGGCAAGGCATATGTTCACAGACCGTCAGCTTCCTCTATTGCAAGAAAAATACGGAGAATTCTCTCTCCAGGTGGTAGAACTACACTACAAATATATTTAACCCACACGCTCCCCCTGGTGGCAACTACAGGGTGTTGTGAGTATGGCAGCAGCCACAGGCCCTTGGTGAAGACTCACCTTGTTTATTTCTGCTGTGCATGGAGTATATACTGTTTCCAGATAGGATTAAAGACTTGGTTGTTCCTGAAAATGATTAAATTCTGTCTACTCCATCTAGCCCTTGTCCTGATGAGCCATTAGAGAAGCATATGGGGAAAGAGTAATTGTTGCTCTTGTGTGAACATTTAAAGTCAAGTGGGACTTTAGCTGCTTAAATGCAGAATAATGCCCTACCATCACCACTGAGCCTGGTGGGCTGGGATGAACCCTTCTTCCTCAAGGTCTGACGTTTGGGCTGTTTCCAGTGTTTACTAGTATAAAGAGCACTGCTCTGAGCATTCCTAACTGGTCCCTTTTTTCTTTTTGGAATATTTCCTTGCGGCACAAGTCTCAGAAGTGGGAGTTTTAGGTCAAAAGATAGAAATAGTTTTATCTTTGTTACCTACTACCAGATTGTTTTCCAGAAACATTTGAACCAATTTAAAACACTCATTCCCTTAAAACATTGAAAATCCTTTTCATTTTAAGACCAATTTATTACTTAGTCCCCAGATGATTAGATAGTCATTGTGAGGCAACATGGCATATGAGAGTCCAAAGACTTGGGTTTGAACACAGTCTTGCTGAATGTTAATGCTGAACCTCAGTTTTTAATGGGGTTGTTTTAAGTATCAGGAGTCTTTGAGTGGTGCAAACAGTTAATGTGCTTAGCTGCCAACCAAAAAGTTGGAAGTGTAAGTTCACCCAGAGGTGCCTTAGAAGAAACTCCTGGTGATCTACTTCCAAAAAATCAGCCATTGAAAACTCTATGGAGCACATTTTTATTCTGACACACATCGATTGCCATGAGTTTGAATTGACTTGACGGCAACTGGTAACTGTTTTAAATATCAGTATGATAAAGTACCCAGCCCTGGCGTCTAGCCAGGTAAATGCTTACTAAATGGTGACAGCTCTGATTGCCATTCCTTCAGTTCTTACTTGGGGAAGAGTCAGAGAAAAAGGGTTTCTCAGGTAGTCCAATTGGCATAGGTCAGGACAACTCTGGCAAAGTAATGTGTCCAGATTTTGACCTTTAGGCCTATAGGCTCTTGCTCAGGGTCCAGACGATTTTTAGAGAATTGTCGTACATGAGCCTATATTCTTATCTGACATGGAGAGGGAAAGGGGGTGCTGATATCCAGGCTAGTCTCCTGACCTGGCCAACCCTACCCTTTAAAACCAAACCAAACCCATTGCCGTCGAGTCGGTTCCTACTCATAGCAACCCTGTAGGACAGAGTAGAACTGCCCCATAGGGTTTCCAAGAAGCAACTGGTGGATTTGAACTGCTTTAGCAGCCAAGCTCTTAACCACTATGCCACCAGGGTTCCGCCCTACCCTTACTGCCCCCCAATCCCTTCTCTAATCTCTCCTGAGTAGTTCCTGCCTCACGCTGGGGACCGCATCTTGATCACGGGGGCAGCTGACTCCAAGGTGCATGTCCATGACCTGACAGTAAAAGAGACGATTCACATGTTTGGAGACCACACAAACCGGGTGAAACGCATCGCCACGGCGCCAATGTGGCCTAACACATTCTGGAGTGCCGCTGAAGATGGGCTTATCCGGTAAGGGCCAAGGCATCAAGTGGGCCCGGTGCTTCCTTGCTCCTGTATCCCACCTGTCCATACTACTTCCTTACACAGGTCTGGCTCCTTCCTGTCAGCAGAGTTCCAGTCTCATTTGTCTGCCCAGGGCAGTTGTCTGTATACAGACTCAGCTGGGAACATATGAATACCCCACCCTCACCTTCCCCCTCTTACCCTCTTCTGCTCTACATCCAAGCCCACTGGCCGTCTTACCAGTTCAGATGCACTAGGGTCTCTGCCTCCTCTGGGCTTTCACATTTGCTATTCTTCTGCCTGGAATTTTCTGCCCCCAGCTCTTTCCATGTCTCTTTTTCACTCTAAGGATATCAGCATGAGAGTCATCTCTTCAGCAGCACCTTCTCTGACCACCCCATTTAAAGTAGACCCAACATTATTCTTTGTCTCAGCACACTAATTGTATCCACTGTAACACTAACCACCGTCTGTAGTGATTTTATTTACTTTTTCGTCTGTATCCCCCACTGAATAGTTAACTCTCTTAGAGCATCTCCATGTCTGTCTAGTTCTTGATTGTGTCCCTAGAGCCAGCACAGTGCCTTGCATATAGAGGCACTTAATATAGTCTCTTGAACACTTGGTCAATGGGCATATACCTGGGAGGGGGAGAGCCAGCCAGAAATGGTAAAGTAGACTATCACCTTTTCCAGAATATACACTGTGTGGTCACACCTTTGCCTCTGTTTACCGTCATCCTGGAATGATCTCATTCCCTTTCTTAAACTCCTACCCTCAGATATGACCTTAGAACTTGTTCCTTATCTCCCCAAACTGCTGTAATTGCCTCCCTTGTGTTCCCACAGGACTTTGTGCAGTCTTCCCTATTATGAAATAGGAGAAGTATCTAAGTCATATATAAAGTATAACACAGTAGTGAGAAGCAGGGCACTGGTGTCAGACAAACCTGGGGTCAGGTCCTGGCTCTGTCACTTAGTGTTTGACTGGGGAAAGTCACTTCACCACAGAATCTCAGTTTCCTTATCTGTAAAATGGGAATAATCATAGTATCTCCCTCATTGGCCTGAGCATTAAAATTGAGATAGTGCGTGTAAAACCTTAGTATAATACTTGGAAGACACAAAGCACTTGGTCAGTGATAGGCCAGACTGTATGTTTGACTTGTTGACCTTGACTGACCACACTGTGCCGAGGCCAGCTAGTAGAAGCTGAGCATCCAGGGAATTGGATGGAATCCTAACCACTTAGGCACAGTCAGACAAGGCAACCTAGCAGAATGTGAAGGTCCTAAACGGGGCCTTCCAGAGTAGGACAGGATTTGGATGGCCAAGGAAAGCAGAGAGGACTCATTGGCTTGAGCAGAGTTTGTGAAACCAAAATGAAGACCAAACGCATTGCTGTCAAGTTGATTCCAACTCATAGCAACCCTATGGGGCAGTTCTACTCTGTTCTGTAGAGTTGCTATGAGTCAAAATCGACTCAACGACAACAGGTAAACAGTTCCTGGCACATAATGGGCACTCAAGAAATGGGAGTGATTTTTTACATTCTTACAGCTTACAAACAGGTCCAAAGCCCCTCCCAATCCCCTTGCATGACAAGGCCTTGTTTTCTCCCCTGTCTTCCACACAAGGACCAATTTCCTTAACTTTGTCCTCTCTCACAGCCAGTATGACCTGCGGGAAAACAGCAAACACTCGGAGGTGCTGATTGACCTGACAGAATACTGTGGCCAGCTGGTGGAGGCCAAATGCCTCACTGTCAACCCCCAGGACAACAATTGCCTGGCAGTAGGGGCCAGTGGGCCCTTCGTGAGGCTCTATGACATTCGCATGATCCATAACCACAGGTATGAATAGCTCAGCCTCCTGTGTAGCAGCCCCCCGCCTTGAGACGGTTGGGGCTGCGGCCAGGACAGTGACTCAATGGACGTGAGCCACTGGGGTCTGCCACCCCTTTGCCTCATTGCCATGCCCTCTTCTTTTTGAGGTGTTTTTTTGTTTGTTTGTTTCGCTGTTTAATTGTGTGACTAGAAAAAAAGATTAATCCATGCTCGATTTGGAAAATATGAAAAATATAATAAAGAAATTACTTATAATCCCATTGCCTAAAAAATCACTGTATATAAAATTTCCTGCTAGTCCTTTTGCTGTTAGTGCTATGAATGTTTGTACAGAGTTGTCTTGTACATGTAGTTTCTTCATATATTTAATTCTTTTTTTTTTTTTTTTTAAACAAAAGCATACTCAGAATCTACACAGAAGTCCCAGAACTGAGCAACTCCTCCAGCCTGGGCTTTTAATGGACTCTTGGGACAAAAGCAGGAATATCTGGCCTGCTTTCCTTTCATTTATGGGTTTAGGGGATCATGGCTGCTCTCACATACTTGGAGGGGGCATTGAGCCTTAGCTTTCTCATCTGTAAAATGGGGATAGTAGGGTGGTCCTAAGGACCAAGACAGGTTATAGGACCTACTCTGTAAAGCACTGTAACATATGTGTCCACAGCTGTCTAGTTAGTGGACCTTTGTTCAGGCAAGGAAGGAAGGTACCTCCTGTGTCTCCCAGGGATACAAACTTAGGTTTTCCTCTGGGGAGTGTGGTCTTGTTTAGCTAGGGGTCGTGCTAGGGGTTATAACCTATATGGTTTACCTTCCTACCAGAAAGAGCATGAAGCAGAGCCCTTCAGCAGGTGTGCACACCTTCTGTGACCGGCAGAAGCCCCTCCCGGATGGTGCAGCCCAGTATTACGTAGCAGGTAGGGCTCAGCCCAGCTCTGGCCCCAAACTCTTGGCTGCATGCTTGACTCTTTCTGGGGTGGTGCAGGGAGTCAGCATAGCATGGTGGTCAAGAGCAAGGGTTATACAGTCAGACAGACCTGGGTGTCAGTCCTGGCTCTGCCACTGGCCAGTTGTGTGACCTTTGGCAAATTACTTAACTTTTCTGAGCCTTAGTTTCTTTTCTGTAAAACGGGGTTGTAATGACTAAATGAAATAAAACATATAAAGCAATTGGCCTAGGGCATATATAAGGGCTCATTATTTGTAGCCGCTATTATGATCAAGATTATTGCTATCATCATCAATAAAGCTCACTTCATGCAGCCTCCTGCCCCTTTGGTGGGGACTGGGATTCTCACAGTAGGGTGGATGGGCTGCTTGCTCCTTGCAGGTCACCTGCCAGTGAAGCTACCTGACTACAACAACCGGCTGAGAGTGCTGGTCGCCACCTACGTGACGTTCAGCCCCAATGGCACAGAGCTGCTGGTCAACATGGGAGGGGAGCAGGTAGGTATGGCTGCCAAAGGTGGCTCTGGCTCACCATCACTCCATATCCTGCAGCCAGGGCTACACACCCACCTCCACTGCCATGAGGTAGACAAGAAGCAACAGCCTCATTGTGAATTCACATTACTATGAAATGTGGGAGTGACAGTAGCATTATTGGGATTCTCACAGAGGTACCCTGGCCTGGTTTTTTTTAATGCTGGCTTGCTGTTTACTAGCGCTGCACTGTGACTTTGAACAAGTCTCTTCATTTTTCTGAGCTTCAGTTTACTCATTTCTAAAACGGTATCATTACTATCAGGGTGGTGAAGTTTAGAGAAAAAATGTCTGTGACATACCCAGCATGCAGTGCCTGGCATATGTTAGGTGGTTATTAAATGGTAGCACTTGATTAGTGGTGATTATGAATAAGTCAGAACAAAGCACACTAATCTTGTTTTACACCCATGACAGCGATAGATATGCAGGTACAGGTGTCCCAAGTTAGAAGGCATAGGAGAGTTGATATGAAAGTGGCTGCATGTTCCTGTGGTCTCGAGAGTCCCAGCCACGTGGGTTTTGGCTCTTGTGTCTGGACATTGCCCAGGGCTGAGAGAGAACCTAGGAGAAGTCTCGGGGGCTCAAAGCATGCAACCAGGCCGCGGTTTAGGGCCAGCTTTGGGAGGTACTCTTTGATAACAGCAGGTGCTAAACCTTTTGTTGGTGTACTTTCAGTCAGGATATTTAGTCGTTCACTCTACAAACACTTACTGAGCACTTACTCTGGGACTAAACAAGGGGGACAAATGTGAACTGTGATCTACCCGCAGGCTGACAGGGGCAACATGGCAAGTGAAACAGTTGGTGACATTACAAAGGTGTGATTATATATGAAAGAAATGGGGTGGAGAATAGATGAGTGCCTGAGTTCAGAATAGGGTTCCAGCTTCAACGAGCCAAGCTGTCCCCTGGCCTGAAGGCAGCATAGGGATCAGAGGAGAGGCAGTCTAGCACAGTGGTTAGGAGCCAGGATCTGGTATCATACACACCTGAGTTTGGGTTCTGGCTGTGCCATATGCGGCTTCGATACCCTGGATAAATTACTTAAAACTCTTCATCTTTATAGAAGGGTGAGGATAGTAGTGCCTTTTTAGGGGGTGGTTTATAAATTACATAAAGCACTTAACAGAGTTCTTGGAACAAAGTAAGTGTTCAGTAAATGTTCATTCATAATAAATAATACTTATTTACTGAGAGGTAACTAGCAGTGTTACTTTGGGCAAGTCACTCCCCATCTGAGGCATCAGTTTTCCCATCTGTAAAATGAGGCGTTTGGTTTTGTGACCTCTGAGGACCTTTCCAACTTAAACATGTGATTCTAGTTAATGACAGTATTTCAAGCAAGGATTTGGGCAGATTAGATAGCCCACCCTGAGGGCCAGGAGCTGGGAAGGTTTTCCTGCCTGAGGTTTCCTCCCTGGAAACCCCTCCTGTCCTGGCTTGATGGCCCAGAAGCCCCCGGCTGCATGCTTAATACTCACTGTGCTCCAAGACTCTGGTTCTTAAGAGCCACCAAGGCCTTGCTGGTGGTCAAACCACATTCTTACCTCACAGTCTCCGTCTCTTTTCCTGGCCCCTCAACTCTAGGTCTATTTGTTTGACCTGACGTATAAGCAGCGGCCGTACACTTTCCTCTTGCCTAGAAAATGCCACTCGTCAGGGGGTAAGTTCAGGGCTTAGCCCTTCTCTGTTAGGGTATCTCTGCTGACATGAGGTTGGGGAGCCTGGATGCGTGCTAGATCTCCTGAGAAGCCTGGCCCTTACCCTGGACTGTGGCTGTGATCTTCCATAAAGGACAGATTCTCTGAAACAACACTGTCTGTACAGTAAGAAGGAAGATCATAACAGGCTATTGAGATCTGTCAAAGAGGTTTGCATCACAATCCTTTTCATTTCCCTCTGAAAAGACAGGTGCTTTCCATGGCTTACTCTTGAGGGCCTGAAGTAGTTGCCCTTCCCCTTCTCTGCCTGGCTCAGTCTCCTCCCTGACTCTTCTTAGGACCTATAGTTATTTTAGGCACCCACTCACCCCCACCCCCAGCTAAAGATAATGCCAAGTAGAAGCTGTGTCCCTTACCAGCCAGCAGAGGGCGCACAGGCTTTTCTTTATGCCATTGCCTGGTGGTCTGTCAGAGCCTGCTTTCCGGGAATGGATCTTACCCACAGAGAATAGCCCCACAATGGAACCAACACCCTGTGATGGAAGCTGGAGGGCTGCCAAGGGGGAAATGTAGACTCCTCCTGAGCTGTTCCCTTCTCCGCACCCTCTGCCAGAAGTCCAGAATGGCAAAATGTCCACCAATGGTGTGTCCAATGGAGTGTCCAACGGCCTGCACCTTCACAGCAATGGCTTCCGGCTTCCAGAAAATAGAGGACATATCAGGTGAGGCCAGCCTGACTTGCACAGCCTCCTAGCCCCAGTTACACCCTATGGATTGGAGAGAGGGGCATGTCCTGTAAGCCCCTGCCTAGGCACGCCTCCCAGAGGGTGGGGACTGGAGAAGAGAGGCTGCTACAAGGTGACTAGTACTCCCAATAGGCTTCTACCTGGTAGGACCCCAGTCATCCTCAGACTGACGCTCTGGTCCCTTGGTACCAGTAGCTGGGGTCAGGGCCCAGGGCTAGCTGCCACTTAGCACTGAGCTCTCTCCAAAAGGGATTTCACGCAGATGCCCCTTCCTCATTATATTATTTTCCATCCCATATGCATATTCTTGCCAGGCCCTGTGCTGGGCTTTGGATATAGGAATGATTCAGAGATGCTCAAATTCTCTAGCTCTTGAGAGAAACAGAGAATTCTCTATAGAAAGATCCATAGGAGGGACTTGGGTGATCATAAGGTTCAGCTCAGCATGGAGGCAGGTTGCTGGGACAGGTGGTATCAGCTGCTATCATGCCCAGGAGTTTGATTAAGAATTGCCTTAAACTTGTCCAGGGCAGCTTTATTTCTGCCCCTCTGTTTTTTCTCTGGCCCCATCAGCAAGAGTGTCTAGAATCATGCCTATTACCTATCACAGTAACCTAGGCCGGGGACAGCAGTGGTCCCCTCTTCTAGAGGGCAGTGCAGATCCCAGGAGCCAAGAAAACCTGGGGGGTCCTCAGGCAGGGGCTACAAACTTCCTCAGGCTACCCTAACCTCCCTTGGCTGCCCTAACTTGTCTCTGCTTCCTCCACAGCCCCCAGGTAGAGCTGCCTCCATACCTGGAGCGTGTGAAACAGCAAGCCAATGAGGCTTTTGCTTGTCAGCAGTGGACCCAGGCAATTCAGCTTTACAGCAAGGCTGTGCAGAGGGCCCCTCACAATGCCATGCTCTACGGGAACCGAGCTGCTGCCTACATGAAGCGCAAGTGGTAAGTGGACACTGCCGAGCAGGCCGAGGCCCAGGATGATGGACAAAGCAACTGGACCAAAACGCAGTGGGCTGATGGAGCTGAAGTTGCTGAGGCATTCAGCGAGGGTAGCAGTAACATTCTGCTGTCTCTTAGGGTTTCTTAGGCCTGCCTGGGCCCCTCCTTCCTGCCTCCAAGCTGAAGTGGGCAAGTACCTAACCCATTAATCAGGAAGTCTCAAGTACCAAGGAAGCTCACAGTTAAATGGAACAGAGACATGTTCACAAGTAGTTCCAATATGGTCCTGTGGCCACTGGGAAATAGGAGCTGAGAGAATGATGGGTAGTTCCGATTGTAGTAGAATTGAGCCTTGAATTGGTCATTGAAGGAGCATTGGAATGTTCGGTGAATTCAGTTGGTATCTGTCTGAAATGATTCTGAAGCTCCTTGTCCCTTGGGCTTGCTTTCTTGTTCTCTTAGACCCTTTGGACCAAGCACAAGCAAGATCCTAGAGGTCTAAAGCTGGCTGTGGGTCATGCTGGGGTATGGTGGCTGGTGGTAAAGGAGTGGGTTCATATCCTGATAAACCCCTCATCTTTGAAGGGTATCAGGGCCCCAGCCCTTCTGCCTGCAGTACCAGCAGGCAGGCAGGCAGGCAGACCCCCATCCCCCAGGCAGGGCCAGGACTAGAGATGGATAGAGCTGGGCCCACAGCCATTTCTGCTCCGTCTGGCATCCGTCAGCTCTGCCCAGACAGACAGGACAGCTGGTGTGCCATCGTCTGGCTGCAACCAGGCAGGCCAAAGAGGGAAGCTTAAGAAACCCACCCAAGTTAGCAGGGGTAGTGGGTGGGGGTTTGGGAAGATGCTACTCCCGCAGGCCTTAGCCCAGGCATCAGAAGTTTGCCAAGGGCTCAGGTGCAGCCAAAACCAGGAGATGACTGCTTTGGGGCCATCTTGAAGTGTTTGGCCTCTCTGTCCCAGCAATTGTGTAGAATGCAGTGATCCTCGTCTAGGCTCTAGCCTGCGAGCCCAGCTTCACTCCTGCATCCTTGCTGAGAGAGGCTGATGATTTCCCAATCCATGTGTGCCCTCCACATGTTCTCTGAACTCCTGCTATGTGCTAGGGACATAAAGTTCTGTCACTCTGGGTTTCTGTGCTCCAGAGTGCCCAGCCTCTGGACAGGGGATAAAGACATAGACACAGTGCAGCATAAAAGAGGCAGGAAGCAGTAAGCCTTGTGAGTGGTTCAGGTAGAGTGCTATGGGCATTAAGAAAAGTTGGGTTGCTTTAGCTGGGGATCAGCGAAGCATCAGGAAGATGTGTCTGAATGGGCTTTAAGTGTGGGCAGGCTTAGACAAGGAGACGGAGTGGGAGAGGACTGTGGGGGAAGGACATTCCAGGGATATGAAACAGTATGAACAAAGGCATGGGGGTGGGGGACTGACTGAAGAGCTTGTTTGCAGAACAACAAATCCATTTGGCTGGAGCAGAGGGTTCAGGAAGGGACTGGCAGGAGATGAGTCTGTGAGGTAGCCTGGGGCCGGCCTGGGAAGGGCTTAGAATGCAGAGCCGGTGGCGTTTGGCCTTGATTCAGGGGATGATGGGCAGCTACTGAAGAGTTTTGAGCAGGAGAGGGCTGTGATGAGGGCTGTCCTTTCAGGGAGATTGATCTGGCAGCGAGTCTAGGATGGGTGAGCCCTGGGGCCAGCCTGCTCTCTCACCATCCTCACATGCCTGCCAGCGACCCCTAGAATGTCACATTCTGTCCCAAGCCAGTCTCCCCAGGGCTGCCATCTGCTCCTGGACGCAGCGGGAGCTGTCACCCCTGGCTCCTGGCTGGTTTCAGGTCGGCTCCCTCTCCCCAGGAGCTCTGAGGGGCACCTTGCAGGCAGTAATTGGGTTTCCAAGCAGCGCCTGCTCCTTCGTCACAGCCACTCGTTCTGACGCAGGCCACACCATCAAAGCCTGTTCTGTCCCACCTGCCCCCATACTGGCCAAGCTGCCTGTTCCTGGTCTCAGCGTGGCTTCTCCAAGGGCTGATGCTATAGGAGAGGAAGGTCAGGAGGAACTTTGCCGCGTCAGTCGTGCTATGCAGGAGGCTTGTGACCTGTGCCCTTGGTGGAAGGACTGTGCTCTAGGGAGTGCTGCTTGGCACAGTTGGATCTTAGGCCCACCCCCAGACCAGCAGGAAAAAACAAACAAATCAGCTTCCAAAGGAGAATTGGCTCCTGTGAGCTGCCTGGCTCTCCAGAAGAGAGGCAGAGGCAGGTCTAGGGGTGCTGGGGGAATGTGTATCCTATATTCTGGCACAGGGAGGGAGAAGGAGGGGCTTCTCCTTCGACCTCCTCCCGACTTCCTCCCTCCACCAAAAAAAAAAAAAAAAACACTCCCCCTTCCCTTCATCCATGCTTCCGGAGGTTGAGAAGTGAGTGGAGCTCCTGGCCTTCACATCCCCTCTTGCCATCAGCTTCCAGAGAGCTGACTCTGCCAGACATCAGGCTCCAGCCCCAGGAGGTAGAGGCCACAGCTGCTGTGGATCAGTCAGCCAGGACAGACGGGGGTCTGGCTGAGGGCTTGTTGCCTGCTGGTCAGACCCTGAGTCCCCAGCCTGGCACTTCTGGCTTCCCCAGACCACAGAACTGTCCTTGAGGGCCCCCTGCCTGAGACATGGCTTTGAAGGCCAGCTGGGGGGATTTGAGGAGGTGGATGGAGGAAGAGAGAAGGCAGGCTTGGGGAGCCTGAGGCGGGCAAGATGCCAGGCCTTCTGCTGCAGAGCTGCAGGTGCTTGGGGTGAGTGGGTGCACAGTTGCACTCTGTGCCCAGCAGAGGGCATCCCAACACCGGTTTTTGCCAGCCCCCAAGCCCTAAAGTGTCCTGGCTTGCCTCCTTAACATTCTCTAGTTCCTGGGGCGGGTCACCAGGGCTGAGCCAGGATTCTCTCCATCCCCAAGTTCCCTTACCCTGAGATCTGTCAGAGGTGGGCTGGGGTGACCACAGGTAACAGAGGAGACCGAGTGGCAACCCCTTGCTTGCCATGTGGCTCCACCACCAAGTCATGCTCTCCTGCCTTCCTAGGGATGGTGACCACTACGATGCTCTGAGGGACTGCCTTAAGGCCATCTCCCTAAACCCGTGCCATCTGAAGGCACATTTCCGCCTGGCCCGCTGCCTGTTTGAGCTCAAGTATGTGGCTGAGGCCCTGGAGTGCCTGGACGACTTCAAAGGGAAGTTCCCGGAGCAGGCCCACAGCAGTGCTTGTGATGCACTGGGCCGCGACATCACGGCTGCCCTCTTCTCCAAAAATGATGGTGGTGAGTGGGCAGTGAGGAGGGGTTGTTGTCACTCTGTTTGAAGTGCTGCATGACATTCCAGAGAGAACATGGTTCTGGGAATGGAGAAGCCTGGGTTCAGGTGCTGATTCAGAAACCATGTGACCTCTTCAAGACTCACTTTCCTCTTCTGAAAAATGGAAGGATAACACCTCCGGTTCAGAGTTTCTATTGAGGATTAGCAATAACATGTTCAAAGCAGGATAGGAGGAAACTGAGCCCGAACGGGCCGGTGGGTTCCAGTAGGGCATTCGCACCTGCTCATTGACAGGACCTTGGCTCCTCCACTTGGCCATCTGAGTAAGGGGCAGCAGCTGGTCGTTGAGCTTGTTACAGTTTGCACAAGTGCAGCAGAGGCACCGCACAGGGCAGTAGGAGTGCCTCGGGAATGGGGTGTGGAGCCTCAGGTCTACCGTGTGGTAACTGTGTGACCTTGACAGAAGCACAGCCTCTCTGAACCCACTGCCTTACCTGCACAAAGACCATAGGAAGCGCTTTCCCCTGCAGCTCACCTCTGTAGTGTTGCAGAGAGAGCTGGGTAATTGTACTGTGGTCTGTGGCAGACATGATCCTCACCTCTCCCCTTTGCAATTTACTAACCATGTGATTGATTCCTTTGTTTAATGAATAGTTATCAAACACCTGCCATGTGCCAGGTACCGTGCTGGGCCCTGGGAATACAGCTGTGAACAAGTCAGCCATGATTTCTGTGTTCATGGGATTTACAGCCTAGTGAAGGACCCGAGGGGTGGAGGAGAAAAGTGTGACAAGTGCTGTGGGGACCTGAGACAGTATAGGTGTATGGGGGAGAGACTGATGGCAGTCTGGGGTTCTTGAGGAAGACACATTTAAGTTATGGTCTGAAGAATGAGGAAGAAGAGTTAACTAGATACAAAGAGTGGCTGTGGGAGGTAGAGTTCCCACCAGAGGGACCAGAGGTTCCTAGCGTGTGCAAAGGCCCTGAAGCAGGAAGCAACAGGCACTTTTAAGGAACTAAGAAAGGTGGTGTGGTTTTTACCCAAGTCACTTAACCAGTTAGTGCCTCAGTTGGGATCCATGACAACTTGTCTTCCAGAAAGTAAGGGCTTGGACCTTACTGTCGTAAGAGCTATGATTCTTTTCAAGGTTCTGTCTGCCAGTCCCTCACCCTTCCCTCCCCTGCCTCTGACCTCCATAGAAACAGAGCTTGAGCCTGAGCAAAGGCCCCCTTGGTGTCAGAAGTTTCCTCTTGAACATCCTCGGGGCCAGATCCAAAGATACTTCTTTCCCACGACATTTTCCTAGTTTTCCAGGGTAGGGGTGGAGTACTTGGGCCGGGAAAAAGATGGGGGTTGGGGTGGGCGAGGGACAGTACTCTCACCTTTCTTTGATCTCTTCCCCCAGAAGAGAAGAAGGGAACTGGTGGTGGCGGCCCAGTCCGCCTCCGCAGCACAAGCCGCAAGGACTCCATCTCAGAGGATGAGATGGTGCTGCGGGAGCGAAGCTACGACTATCAGTTCCGCTACTGTGGCCACTGCAACACCACCACGGATATCAAGGAGGCCAATTTCTTTGGCAGGTCTGAGGCCCTGGAGAGGAGGGAGGGGCACAGCCCAGTTGGCAGCAGGTGGTTGGGGGAATGGCGTGGGGGTATAATGCTTTTAGAAAAATCTCAAATCCCAGCTCTGCCTCTGTGCCCTTGAGCAAATGGTTTCACCTCTGTTAGCCTCAGTTTCTTCATCTGTAAAATGCAATTAGCCGCACCCACTTGCGGGGCCATAATGAGAACTAATGAGATAATGCAAGTAAAGCATCCAGCACAGTGTCTGGGATGTCCCTTTACCCCCTGCCTCCTTCTCTCTCTGTCTCCATGTACCAGAGCTTGGTTTCTTTATCTGGATGCTGAGAGCCGCCCTTTGCCAGGGATATAAGGCACAAGCCCTCAGTGTCTCAGATACTGTCACCCCCCACCCTTCTTTGTAGATGTTTGTACTTTCTTTGGGTAGATGAGACACATGAACATGAATCAGGGGCCCCTCTAAATGTCATGGTGCATAAGGGACAGGATTTGGAGGTCTGGATCCAGAAGGCTAGGACTTTCAGGGAGGACTTAGATGAGGGTATTCCCAGAGGCCTAAGAGATGGAAGACCTGTTCCTGACACCCAGGAAGTTCATGGTGCACTTTAGGGGAGAGTATCTTGGGGAAACCCAGGTGGCCCCTGACTCTGGGTTTAAGAGAATAGTGAATGGGGCTGTGCAGTATGGAGAGGATTAGCGTCCTTGGGAGTTCTGAGTTAAGACCCCAGAGTATGGGGGCCTGTGTGGCTCCAGACTTCCCTGCTCCTCCCTGCCCTAAGCTGTGCAACCTATACTTGAGGCTATAGGGCAATACCCCCACCTGACCTCCCTGCCCTTTGCCCCCCTGCCAGCAACGCTCAGTACATCATCAGTGGCTCTGACGATGGCTCCTTCTTCATCTGGGAAAAGGAGACCACCAACCTGGTTCGCGTGCTTCAGGGAGATGAATCCATCGTCAACTGCCTGCAACCGCACCCCAGCTACTGCTTCCTGGCCACCAGCGGCATTGACCCTGTCGTGCGGCTCTGGAATCCCCGGCCAGAGGTGAGGGTACAGGCAAGGTGGCCAAAGCCAGGCAGGGAGGGGGGTGGAGGCCCTGTGCAAGGTGCCCACCATGACCTGTGAGAGCTGGGAAGGGAAATGAGTCAGGCAGAGGCTAGAAGCTGCTGGGATGAGCAGCTCTTACCCTAGAGCTCCAGCCTGTGTCGAGGGGAAGCTATCACATTCTGAAAGCTCCAAACACAGTGGAGCAAGAGTGGCCTCTGGGAGCATATCCTTGAGCTAGCTGCAACGGTGAGACCCACATGGGAAACCATAACCAAGGACAAGGGATTCAGGAGGGCAGAGAAGAGAACCAGACCAGCTCTGGGATTGCCTCATGAGAAGGGTCCCTCAGAGGCTCCTGGGTACCCTTCTCTCACATGCTGTGCATGTCCCACCAGAAGCTGTGCAGAGGCCAGCCCCTCAGTCATACGGGCCGTATGCAGCTATAGAGTCTGGTGGACCCCTTCACTCACTGTCTGCAGGACTTAACCATTTCTAACCCAAGTTTATCACCTGTACTCTGGGAATGGGAATAACAGCACCACTTCAAAAGATTGGTGTAAGGATTAAAGAAACAATGGCTGTGGAGTGTCCGACCCACAGGGACACTCGGATAGTGTGGTCCCCTCCACTTCCTCTGTCCCACCCTCACTCCTTCTCAGCTGGCAAAACAGAAGTTAAATGGTGGGCATCTGATCCCAGAGGTAATTTGCTGTGACTTTAAAGAGAGAACTTTACAAGACCCTCCCTTGAGGAGAGAAGGAAAAAAAAATAAAGGAAGAGTAGTGGGTTTGAGAGTGGCAACAGAACACGTTGCCCCCAACCCCATATATCCCGGTATGTGCACCCCTCAATTTATCCCGGTATGTGTGCCTTCCATGTGTACCATTGTGTGTGCTCTTGCCCATATATATCCATGCGTGGGTCCCCCCATACATATAACCCAGTGTGGTACTTTAGTGTGTCTCCCTCATGGATATCCTGGGGTACACATCCCCTCCATATTTATAGCTCAGTCTGTGTTCCCCCTCCACACTATATTCCAGTGCCTCTCCATATACCCTGGTGTCCCCCCACCCCGACAGAGTGAAGACCTCACAGGCCGAGTTGTGGAGGACATGGAGGGTGCTTCTCAGGCCAACCAGCGGCGCATGAATGCGGACCCGCTGGAGGTGATGCTGCTCAACATGGGCTACCGGATCACAGGCCTGAGCAGTGGGGGTGCTGGGGCCTCCGATGATGAGGACAGCTCCGAGGGCCAGGTGCAGTGCCGGCCCAGCTAGACCCTCCTAGCCCTGGTCCTCAGCCCCTGCTACTGGCTGGACCCTGCGCCCTGGGCAGGAGGTCAGGGTGTTCTGTTTTAGTTTGTCTTCCCCGCTCCACCCTGTTTTTTCATTTCCCCTGTTTTGATTGTTAGTTTGGCATTGGGGGTGGGGGTTACTACAACTTGCTGGCTTTCAGACTCGGGGGGCTGATTGCCCCTTGACTGTCCCCAGCCCAGAGTGGAAGAGCAGGAGGGGAAGCCCCACCCTGTGGTCCCCCCACCTCCTGCTTCCATGTCTCTGGAGGGCTCTGACCTGTCTCAAAACCCCCTCTGCCTCAGCTGGGGAGGCTGAAGCTGTCTGCAGGGACTGCCCTGCCCTTGGGTTGGCAGCAGGAAGGGGAGTGGAATTCCCGGTTGGTAAGGGCTAGCCTTGACGTGTTGCCACTCTTCTCCCCACCTGGCCAGCAAGGCTAGCTCCCCTGTGGTCTTCAGGGAAGATTCTGAAAAGGGATAGGGACCCACCCTCCCTCCAGAGCCACCAGTGTAGGATGGAAGCAGAAGGGAGGAGGGGAGCCCTGGTGTGGGCCAGGATAGGCCACCTGCCCTGGTCCCAGCAGAGCATCCTCAAGGTCCCCCCACCTGCACCCCAGCACTGGCTCTGGGCCCTGCGCCTGCTCTCACTGGCCACCTCTGGGGCTCAGCCTTTCCCGAGGGCCCTGGCAGCGGTGGGGCACTGCACCATATGCCACCCACCCATGCCAGCCCTTCCACACTACGGCCACTCTCCTCCTGGGCGCTCGTCGGCCTCACTGTGACCTTTCTGCCAGAGCTCCCAGCCAGGCCTACTCTTGCTGAGATGGCGCTCCCTGCTAAGGGCCCTTCCCTGCTCTTTCTGCCTCCCTCCCACCCCTTATGCTGAGCTGCCGCAAAGACCAAAGAAGTGATGGCTTTTCTCTGTCCCCTGCTGCTCTGGGGGGAGGGGGGTAGGTCTCCTGAGCCACACAGATGGGAAAGTCGCCAACTCAGTCCCCTCCCTCCACAGCAGCCCAAGCTTTACACTGGATGCAGTGGCCACCCCACCCCTCACCAAGCCTCCCCTTCCCTCGGCCCCCTTGGCTCTCAGCTCTGGAGCTGCTCCTGGTCGTCGTTGATTCATCCTTCCTCCCCTCCCCCTCCCCTCAGTGCTTACTTGGTTCCAGCCCTCCAGCTGCAGCCTCTGGGGAGAAGCAGCCTCTCTTCTTCCCGCCCTCCCCCCCGCAACCCAGCCCCTGTCTCTGCCAGGTGCCTCCTCTCAGTCAGGCTTCAGAGCAGCCCTGGAGACAGGAGGACCATGTTAAAAGCTTTTTCACAGTTTTAGGAAGACTAGTGGGGGAGGAGGTTGAGGGTAGTGGTGGGGGGTCTGGCACCATCTCGTTATTGCTTTAATCCTAGCAACACAGGTGGCAGCTTCTCCCCCCCTCCCCGTTCTCCCCACCCCAGTCTCTCTTCCCACCCCTCTCTCTTCTTGCTTGGTAATGAAGTATATTTATTGGTGAAGGAAACAGCTGCTGCTGCTGCTCCTGCTGCTGGTTCTTACTCCCCTGTCTCTTCTCCATGACCTTTCTCTAGCCAGGGAGGAGAGTGGGAGTAGTGGGGTTGGGTCCTGGGGCCCAGGGACCAGCCGCAGCCCTTAGCTTTCCTGTGTGCGAGCCACCTGCCATTCCACTCCCCACCCCACCCCCACCCCCGCCTGCCCAGACTGGGCCCTGCAGTGTGGAAAGACACAGAAGCCTTACTGTCCTCTGGGGGCAGGAGCCGAGCCTTTTTGTTGCTCTGCTCCCAGGAGAGTGAGGGTGACGCAATTGATTAAAATCATTTTGTTCTAGGTGTGGCTGGTGGCATTTGTGGGGTGCACGTGGGTCTTGGGACCAAAGTGGGGGTACCTGGCCTTGAGCATGCTGCTCTGCTCCATTCAGCAGAGGCCCGCTGCACCCTCACCCCGGTAGCTCTGTCACTTTGAGTCACCAAACCCTTCTCTTGGAGGGAGAAAGAGGTCTACCTTCAGCATCACTGTGAGCAGTGGCCACCCAGGGCCAGTGCAGAGCCCAGCACTGGTGGCTGTGATTTGCAATAATCAGTGTCACTCTCTGGGCCTGTTTTCTCATCTGTAAAATAAGAGGGTTGGAGTCTCAGTGGTTTTTCAAATTTTTTTGACCAGAACCCAAGCAAGAAATATACATTTTACATTGTGAACCAAGATACACATATGTATGTATATAATGAACAAAAGTTTTACACAATAATACTTACCCTTACTACATGCTCTATTTATCAATCTGTTTTATTAGGGGAAAAAATACTGGTTGTGACCCATTAAATTTATTTCATAATATGCAATTTGATGCCTTGGATTAGATGATATCTTAAACCAAAGGTTCCCAAACTCTCAACTCCCAGCATCCTTAGTGTCTTAGTAATTTTTTCCTGGAACCCCTAAGCTGAAAGAAATATCTAACAGTTCCATGTATTAAATAGTTAAGTCCAAACCACTTAAGAAGTATCTATGTCCTAACAAGTTAGTTGTCTGGAAAAATAATATGCATAAATTGAGAGAAAATATATTTTTATTTCATTCTTAAATAACCTCAGTTACTTACTAATGGGATCTGTGCACCTGTTGAGCACTGCACAATTTCTCACACTTGCAATTCAAATCACACACTACCACTCTCATTTCCTGTTCCACATTGACTTTCACTTGCTTGTTATCACAGCCACCCCCGAGAACCCAGTTTCTCAAAGATGATATAATCTAAAGGAATGTAACTCAACCTAATGATGAAACTGAATTACCTTGAGCTAGTAGTTCTCTCAGAAGCCAGCAGATGCTGAGTATCTCTCCAATTTAAAATATCCTATTATACTCCTGGAGCCCTGGTGGTGCAAGTGGTTAAGAGCTTGCCTGCTAACCAAAAGATCAGCAGTTCAAATCCACCAGGCGCTCCTTGGAAACCCTATGGGGCAGTTCTGCCCCATCCTATAGGGTTGCTGTGAGTTGGAATTGACTCGACGGCAACGGATTTGTTTTTTGGAATTGTGCCTCCTGTGAATTTGCTGTGGTGCTCTATGGTATCTTCATGAACATTGTGGTTCAGTACAGTTTTCACTACTGAAACTTTGTGATTCTTCTGTTTGTACATTTGGAAAAAGCTAGGAGGTCATGTGAGACAGGAGATGGACAGAAAAAAGGTTCTGCCAGAAGCACAGTAGGTGGTGTTATGAAATGGGTGCTGTGTATCATTCACCTAGGTTCCCAAATTAAAGGAACGTAAAAGCTTTGCCAAAAAAAGGCTGCTGCTTCAAGAAATTTTCAGACCAGCCAAGGAAGGGACAGTGTTCCAGGCTAAGGGCATAGTGTTTGCAAAGTCCCAGATTCCCTCAGAGACCCCGAGTGATTCAGTTTGGCTGGATTGTAAAGGGTGGGGTGGCCTGTGGGCTTGATCCTGTAGGCACAGAGGAGCCACTGGAAGGCCACCAGAGGCTCCCTTTCATTTGTAGTTGGTGCTCCTTTTTTTCTTTTTAAATTAATAGACTTCAAAGCAGTTTTAGGTTTACAAAAAAAATTGAGCAGATAGCACAGCATTCTCATATACTCTCTCTTTCCCCCTCACAGTTCCCCCTATTATTGACATCTTGCATAAAACCCAAAAACCCATTGCTACTGAGTCAATTCTGACTCATAATGACCCCATAGTAAAGAGTAGAACTGCCCCATAGGGTTTCCAAGGCTGTAAATCTTTACGAAAGCAGACTGCCACATCTTTCCTCGTGATGGGTTCAAACCGCAGACCTTTTGGTTGGCAGCCGAACACTTTAACCACTGCACCACCAGGACTCCTTAGCATCTTGTATAGTATATTTGTTACAACTGATGAACCAATATTGATATTATTAACTAAAGTCCACAGTTTTCATTAGGGCTTACTCTTCGTGTAGTACATAGTTCTATGGGTTTTGACAAATGCATAATGTCATGTGTCCACCATGGCAGTATCATACAGAATAGTTTCACTGACCTAAAAATGCTGTGTTCCACCTATTCATCCCTCCATTAGCACCCCTCCCAAAAGCGCTTGGGAATAAATCCAACAAAACATGTACAAGATCTATATGAGGAAAACACCTATGATGAAAGAAAATCTAAATGGAGAGGTATTTCATGTCCATGGATAGAGACTCAATATTGTTAAGATGCCAGTTCTTCCCAACTTGATCTATAGATTCAATGCAAATCCCAATCAAAATACCAGCAAATTATTTTGTGGCTATCAAAAAACTGACTCTAAAGTTCATCTGCAAAGGCAAAAGACCCAGAATAGCCAACACAGTACTGAAGAAAAACAGAGGTGGAGAACTGACACTACCTGACTTCAAGACTTACTGTAATGCTACAATCATCAAGACAGTGTGGCACTGGTGAAAGAATAGACAAATAAATCAATGGAACAGAATAAAAAGTCCAGAAATAGACCTAAACAAATACAGTCAACTGATCTTTGACAAAGGAGCAAGGGCAATTCAATGGAGAAAGGATAGTCTTTTCAACAAATCATGCTGGGACAACTGGACATCCACATGCAAAAGATGAATCTAGACACTGCCTTTACCTTCCACAAAAATTAAGATGATCATAGACCTAAATGTAAAACAGCAAACTATAAAACTAGAAGATAATATAGGAGAAAATCTAGATGACCTTGGGTTTGGCAATGAGTTTTTAGATGCAACACCAAAAGCACAATCCATGAAAGAAAAAAACTGACAAGTTGGACTTCCTTAAATTAAAAACTCTACTATGCAAAAGACACTGTTAAGAGAATGAACACACAAGCCACAGACTAGGAAAAAATATTTGCAAAATACATATCTGAAGAAGGATTTGTTTCTAAAATATACCTAAAAATTTTTTTAAAATAACTTAAAATGCAACAATAAGAAAACAAACACACAGGAACCACAGCCTCCACTAGCCTGAGACCAGTAGAACTAGATGGTACCTGGCCTCCACTACCGACCACTCTGACCGGGATCACAACAGAAGGTCCTGGTTAGAGTGGGGGAAAAAATGTAGAGTAACACTCAAATTCATAAAAAAAAAAAAAAGACCAGACTTACTGATCCAATAGAGACTGGGGGAACCCCTGAGACTACGGCCCTTAAACACCTTTCTAACTTGGAACTGAAGCCACTTGCAAAGATCACCTTTCACCCAAATAATAGACAAGTCTGTACAATAAAAACCAAAACAAAACAACACCTGTGAGGAGAGTGCTCATTAGAACAATCATCCGTATGAGACCAAAAGGGCAACATCTGCCCAAAAGCAAAGATGAGAAGGCAGGAAGGGGCAGGAAAACCAGACGAATGGAAACAGGGAACCCAGGATGGTAATGGGGAGTGCTGACACATTGTGGGGGTTGCAACCAATGTCACGGAACAATTTGTATATAAATTATTGAATAGGAAACTAATTTGCTCTGTAAATCTTCACCTAAAGCACAATAAAGCGTACCAAAAAAAAAAAAAGCCCAATTTAAAAACAGGCAAATGATCTGAACAGACACTTCATCAAAGAAGATATACAGATAGCAAATAAACATAGGAAAACATGCAATATGTGTCTTTAGGGAATTGTAAACGAAAACAGTAAGATACCACTACACACCTATTAGAATGGCTAAAATAAAAAAAACCTGACAATACCATTGCTGGCAAGGATGTGGAGCAACAGGAACACATTACTGGTGGGAACGCAAAATGGTACAGCCACTTGGGAAGACCATTTAGCAGTTTCTTACAAAGCTTTAACTGTGTCTTACCATACAATCCAGCAGTTGTGCTTCTAGGTATTTACCCAGAGTTGAA